TGCCCACTTCGGGTGATTTCGACCAGGGACTAAGATATTTAAAAACAAAAACTTCCTTTGCATGCACATATCTGGAGGAAGGTTATATGGCGTAAGGATCACAGGCCATAATGAATATTGCCTACCAGATATACCAAATGGACTGGAACCGTCAATGCAAAGACCAAGATAAACATTTCGCTTCGATCTAGCAAAGTCTGGATGTACGGTGTTAAAATGTTTCCAAGATTTCCTGTCAGAAGGGTGAGTCATTTTGCCATCTATTTGTGAATGTTCTACATGCCATCTCATCGACGCTGCTGTCCGTTCAGATTGATATAGTCTTTTTAACCTATCAGTGATAGGAAGATACCACATTCGTTGGTACAGAATCTTCTTACGCCCAGCAATTTGCGGTCTATATCTTGGCTTTTGGCAGAAACGGCATTCTTGAAACTTCTCATCATCTCTCCAAAAAAACATACAATTATCAACACAAACATCAATCATCTCAGAAGGCAATCCAAGACTAAAAACCAGCTTCTGAATTTCATAATATGTTTCAGCAGCCAAATTATCATCTGGCAAATACTCTTTAATAAGATCTGCCCAATCGTTCATGCAAACTTCAGATAGATTGTGATCAGTTTTTATTGTCATCATCCGAGCTGCCAATAATAATTTAGATAAAACTTCTCTACATCCCTCGTAAAGAGGCTGTTTTGCTGTGTTTAACATATCATAAAAGTGTTTCGCATCTGCATTGGGCTCCTCAACAATATCAGCATGTGTTTCATGAAATGCATCAGTAACCATATCATGCATCTTATCCTGATCTTCACCCTGACTTGACTACTTTGATAATCATTTGACGCTTCAAAATCTCCATTTTCTTGATGATTACTACTACTCCATGCAGCCATCTGACCACTACTTTGACCATATCTCTCTCCATGCTGATACCAAATAAAGTACTGCGGCATGAACCCTCTATTCAATAAATGCTTCCAGACAGTGTCAATAGGAATATGTTTCCTATTTTTGCATTTCACACAAGGACAATACATTTTGCTGCTTTCAATTACAGTTTGCATAAGGCCGGCCTAGTATATGAATAATTCCAATCCGTTTTTTAAGTCTTCAGTCAACGACCCATCAACATTTTTGGGTGTATATATCCACTTTCGTAGATCGTATATAGACATTTCAAAAACAAATAATTGACTTTTTGTTTTTGATCTTTGATATAAATTTCAACTACTAAAAAATTTACTCAAACATTCAAAGACTCAAAAACTTGTGTCTTTATATGTTTTTTTGGGTTGATGGAATAATGAGAGAAGAGAGGGTATATATAGATTTTTTGTTTGGTTACCAACATATTGCCATTGAATATTTACATCAAATTTACATCGAAATAATAGTTACATCATATTTACATCGATATTCCGTCGAATACAAGATGGAGGCCAATTCGTCGTATAATCGATGTTAATGTTACGAGAAAGTTACGACGAACTTAAATTCGTTCTTTATTCGTCATAATATCGTCATAATTTTACGGCGATTTTACGACACCAGTATTTTACATCGAAATTACGATTAAATATTTTGACGTCGTAAGTTCGACGTAATTGAGTCGTTAATTTACGACGATCAAGAATCGACGTTAAAAATTCGTTAGAAATGCCCCTCTTTCTTGTAGTGGTAAGCCGGATTATCGTTATTCGCACCTAAATTAAACATTAAATCCGAACTACCCTAGTTCGTTTTTATACTTAGCATAATTTGTGAAAATGCACTTCATCTGAATAAAGTAAAAACAAGCAAGGAAAGTAAAGAGATTCATTACGAGCCCATCGCGGGCAACAAGTTCAAAATAAAAGGCCCACCAGAGGCAAAATAACTAAAGCCCCTAGGGAAAATAAGCATGAGTTTGAAAATAAAAGCCTTATCGGGCAAAAACAGAAGGAAATATAACATTTGGGGAATCATTCGGTCCTCGGAGTCTTCAAGGCTGCTTCTTGGTTTGCAGTGATGGTTGCCTCATTGGATCCGAACTCATTTACCTCGGGATTAACCGAGATTGCAGCAGGTGTTTTGGACTCCGGCTCTGATAGCAGAGACATCCTGTTGTTGCTTTCTTTGAGAGAAGATTCCTCAATCGAATTTAAGTCGACCATCACCGCATCATAACGAGACCGGAGCCCAAACACGACCTTCTCCAGAACGGTGAAGAGACCTTTCTTCTTCAAGTTCTCGACGAACCCCAAAATCCCTGTGAGTTGATTAATCACAAGGTACGGTTTCCGGGCCTTTTCAGTGTCGTCTAGGCACCTGGTAATCTTCTCAAGCCGACTGGTCATCTTTTCGTGGAGATTATGTCGGCGAGACCTCTCCTTTGAAATTCTCTCCAGAATCCAAACCGTGTCTGACTCGAGCTCCTTCACCAGCAGTTTTGGGCCTCCTGATAACACCGGATTTTGGCCATTTTTATGGATCATTTTAATATCTTTTACAGGTGTTTTTACTCCATTTTCAAAGGTTTCAAAGGATTTCTATGTTTCCGGATTTTAAAAGACTTTTCAGGTAATTTGGGATAAAGAAGCACAAAATGGAACAAAAAGACTCTTTTGGATAAATGCAGACCGTCAGAACTCTCATGGAGAGACGAAGACCTTCTCGCCGGATCACCCTGAAAATTGGACAACTTATAGAAGAATCAACCAGCTTTCAAATGCACTTGGTTTGGAGACATTCCAACGGTTGGATCTCAAGATATTCCATTAGCCCCGGAGCCATGCAGAGTCGGCCAGCAACTCACGCGACCGCGGCCAACAAGCTATTTGCCGCGGTCAGAAGCTTTCTGACCGCGGCCAACAAGCCAATTGCCGCGGTCACAACACTCCTGACCGTGGAATTCAAGCTCCGACTTAAAGCCCACTTATCTGAAGCCCAAAGTCATTCTCAGCCTTAATTCCGGAACCCTAGAGACCATGGAGTATTGGAGACTATAAATACATGTCATTTAGGTCGTTTTTAGAGAGAGCCATTCATACTTTACAGAAACCCTTTTCCTTTAGCCGTTTTTATGAGATTTTTGTAGAAGATTGTTCAAGTCCGAGTTCTTCAATAGAGAAGCTTTCTTTATCTCTTTTCTTTACTGTTTTTCATTACTTTTATTAAAACCAATGATGATGTCGAACTCAGCCATGTCTGAGTAGATCCCGAGTTGGGCTTAGGGTTCCCGAAAGGGGCTCTCATAATCGATTAAGACATCTAGGTTTATAGATCTGGGATTTCGACCTGTTCTCTGTTTATTCTTGTTCTTATTGCATGTATGCTTGATTGATCACCTAGTGTCTGATCTAGATAGTTAGTGTTGCGAAAGTTTTCATTAAGTATCAGCCCTAGAATGAAACAGGCGATTTTTCCGTAGGAGTGGAAACCTACCTGCGGCGAGATCGTGAGTATTGACGAGTCTTGTGCAGCTCTTGCGTTCTCTCCCTTCCAGGGCCAGAGTGGAAACCTACTGGTCAGGGTTGCAAGAAACAGTTGGTTATGATCACGACAGTGACGTAGTCATACCGCCGTACTCTAGCTCTAGAACCCATATATTGTTATCCGTCAATCCCAATCTATCTACCTTAGTGTTAAAACCGATTATGATCCCTTAGAGTTCCCAAAAGCTCAGCGTTTTTAGCCATAGATTACAATTCCATCGATTTTTACTTGCTTTCTTAGACCTGCATTTCAATTTCCTTAGTTCGTTATTTACTTGCTTTATTTACCTTTCATGCGATATTTTACTTGCCTTATTTTTGTTTAGTTCGATATTTTACTTATTCCATTTACATTTCATTTGATTTTCTTTACTTGCTTTTTAGGATAGATTTATTTGCTTTCTTTTGTTTTAGTTTAATTCGCAAGAAAAATAACCAACCTTTAAAACCAATTTAGTCTAGACATAAAGTTAAAAACCGTAGAAGAATACCAGGCACACAAATCTCTGTGGATTCGATCCCTAAATACTACAACTGATTAGCTGTGCACTTGCGGCTTTCATTTGTTTTGTTAAGGGTAAAACTTGTTCCCTCACGTAGCGAGCTCGCATCAAGTTTTTGGCGCCGTTGCCGGGGATTTGTTTCGTTGCCTTTTGCTATTTTTCTTGTTTTAACTTCTGTTCTAGACACCTGATCTCTAGTTCTTTCTTAAAGTTTTTCTGAACTATCTTTCCCTTCTTTTGTTTTTCTCTGAATTGCATGAATACCAGGCGTAGACCTGCAGGAGACATTCCAATTCTAGACGAGATAGACAGACACGAAAGAGAACTTCGAAGACTTAGACGAACGCAAGGAATGGCCAACGACGACCAGCCTGGAGATCCTATTAATCGAAATTTAAATATGGACCAAGACGGGTCCGAACATGGAGAAAACGAAGAGAATGATCACATAGAAGGTGATCATGCTCGACAAGATGGAGAGTAGGATGAGGTTCTTCCAAGAAACCACCAGAACCGAGAGAGAGAAGGACGTGAAGACCTTGATCCACCCCTCAATGTAGCCGATGGTGACCACCCAGCAATGCAGCTGAATGAACGCGTTCACCGCCCCATTCCGCCAGCAAATCAACACCGAAGACAAGCCAGGAACCATCGCATAGCTGATTTTGATGCACCTACTCAAAATTTTCAGAATCGATCTGCGATTCAAGTACCATTTCCAAACCGGAATGAGTTTGAAGTCAAGCCTCAAATCATCTCATTGGTGAAGCAAAACCAGTTCCATGGAGTTCCTTCTGAGCACCCAATGGACCATATCGAGCTTTTCGAAGAAATTTGCAGCATGATGAGAACAAACCAAGTTCCACCTGACTATTTAAAGTGTAAGTTGTTCCCTTTTTCATTAGCAGATAAAGCTCACCGTTGGTTGAAGTCTTTGCCTGCAGGATCGATTACTAATTGGGAAGAATGTAGAACTGCTTTCCTGAACCACTTCTACACTAAGTCAAGGTCGAACAATCTGAGAACGAAGATCTCAACCTTTCAACAAGGGCCAACTGAATCTTTCTATGAAGCTTGGGAACGTTTTAAGGAGTATGAACGTGATTGCCCTAATCATGGATTTCATGGATCAAGCCTGCTGAGCACATTTTATCGAGGTTTGCAACCAAAATACAAACTTTCACTTGATACAGCTAGCAATGGAGATTTTGGGCAAAAGACGATAACTCAAGGAAGAGCCCTCATCGAAAATTTGGCTCAAGCCAATAGCAATGATTGTCCTGAATATGATCGATCGATGAAGCAAGCCGGAACAGACAACAAGGAGATAACCGAGTTGAAGAACATGGTGAGCCAGCTTCTGAAGAGCAACAATCGCCCGATCCATGCCTGTGAAACCAACAATGGCGCAGAAGATGAAGGACCTAGTGATATAGATCACATTAATCAAGCATTTCAAGAAGAAGATGTGAACTACGTAGGAGCATTGGTGCCATACCAAAATCGCTCCAAAAACAACTTCAACAACAACTTCCGGAATGCAAATTACAACAATCTCTCTTACCACAATCCAAATGTGGAGAATCCTCAAGATCAGTACTACCCACCTCAGCAAAAATCCTTCCAAAACAAGTTTCAAGGTGGAAACTTTGGAGGAATAGTACCATACCAACCGCGACAGCCATATAACTACCAAGGTACGGGTTTTAACAATCAATTTGTACAACAGCAGGGAGTCACGACGAACCAGCTAGCTTCACAAATCGGTAGACTTGAACAGTTAATCCAACAGCTCGTTATGATGAACGAAAAAGCATCTAAAGACGTGAACGTGAAAGTGGACTGCATGTACACTGATCTGAATGGTAAGTTTGAATCTTTATCTTCGCACGTAAAGAAGTTAGATGTGCAGGTTGCCCAAACAGCCGACTCTATGAAGAGGCAAAGTGGAGTTCTTCCAGGAAGAGTTGAAGATAACCCTAAGAAGTTTTGCAACGCCATAACAACATTGCCCGAAGAAGAGTCCGGAACCGATGGAAAGAAAGAAGAAACCCCAATCTTTGTACCACTGTACAAGGATACCGATCCCAAGCAGCCACCGTTTAAGGTACCTGAACGATCACCGTTTCAAAGGCTTACCAAAGCCGATGATCCGGGACGTTTTGTTTTCCAATGTTTCATTTCAGGAATCAAGTTTACAGACTGCTTGTGCGATTCCGGAGCCAATGTCAACATCATGTCTAAGACATTTGCCGAAAAATTGGGCATAAAAACCTTAAAGACATCGACGGTTAAGGTTATCTTTGGAGATTCATCTCAAAAAGATACTGAAGGGGCGATTCATGATCTACAAGTTCTAGTGGGAGATAAGATTGTTCCAGCAGATTTCCAAGTCCTGGAGATGGATAAAGACAAGGAGAGGCCACTCATTTTCGGGAGACCATTCCTAGCTACAGTAGGAGCAATAATCGATCACGTAAACCGGCATGCTGTTTTCCTCAATGTGGACAGAAAAAGGTACTATCCTACTATCTTAGATGAATTTCCAAGCAAAGGAAACAGGCCAAAAGAGAAAGAAAACGAGAAGCCGAAAGCTTTTGCAAACATCAAGATCATCATTCCACCAAATGCAACAGAAACTAGTGATGACCAGATCCAGGAGCTGATCGAAAACACAAAAAGGGTTCTGAACAACATTAAAGTCCGAAAGAAAAGTAAAGGTAAGAAGACTTCTCTTCAAGGAGAAGAAGTAAAACCTCCACCAACCGGAGGTGATACAGGCACATCAAGTGGAGTGCCATTCAAATCAGCCTGATTTCTCATGCTTACGTCGAGCTAAACGACTTAAAACAAAAGCGCTTAATGGGAGGCAACCCATTAAGGTACTCTTTCTCTTAGTTTTCTTTTCCTTTTTAGAATTTATGCTTTCTTTTTCTTTTTAAGTTTTAGGTATTTTATAAAACAAAAACACAAAAAAAAAAATCAGAAAATTAGAAAATTAGAAAAACCAAGAAGAAAAAGGTAGGTCTTTAGCTGCTCGGCCCGGCAAAGACGAGAAGATTGGACAATAGGCCGCAGGAGGAAGAGCCGCGGTCGCGACCGTTCGACCCGCAGCCAAGGGTGCATCGACCGCGGCACCGTGAACGTGACCGCGGCCGAGCACTCGACCACCGCGGTCGCGCGTCTCCTGACCGCGGCCGTTGGTCGTTGAGGTGATTCCGCGGATTTCTGCCGCTTCCTGGTGTTGCCTGGTGTTTGCCTGGTGATTCCCGGTGTTGCCTGGTGTTTACCTGGTGTTACCTGGTGATTCCCGGTGATTCCCGGTGTTTCCCGAAATGTTCCCGGTAAAACCCGAAAAGATCCTCCGTAAGTTTTAAATTTTCCTAATGTGCAAACAAGAAAGGTAAGTTCCCGTAAACTTAAAAATTTCCAGAAATTTTCCGTTTTTGCTTCAAAAACGCTTTTTAAAGAAAAGAAACAAACTTTTTGGATCAAAACTCTTTCTTCTCTTCTCTTCCAAAAGACTTAGAGATTTAGGAGAAAGAACACATTTTTCAATTCTTAAGCTTTTTAAGAGATTTTAGGCTCAAACCTCACTCTTTTTCGAAGCTGATTTCAATTCTACCATCAATTCT